ATGGGATGGACTTTCAGGGAAGATTTCTTCCAACCCAAACCATGCTGGGGCCTTTTTCTCCCACCACCTCTGGTCCATCCCAAAGCTCCCGTGGGGCACTGGTCTCATGGAGCTGCAGGATGTGCCCATGGGTGGGACACTCTCAGCCTCTCGTTCTCTGGGAGGGATCAGGACCCTCAGGGCAGGTCAGGGCTCACCCCTGAGGACCAACACCTTCAGTGGGTGACCCAGCTGTGATGAATCTCCTGAACCCAGGCAGCCTTTTCCAGAAACACAGGGGTGGCTCCTCCCCTGTGAGATCAGTGGCCTCACACCAGCTGATGAAGAGGCTTCTTACCAACCCCATGGACTCAGCAGCTGCTCTTTTACTCCCTCACCTTCCACTACCTGGATTTTTGAAATATGAGAGGTTTTTACATAAATTCTCCTTTTTCTTTATTCCTGCCGTGTCTCACCTTCCACCACTTGGATTTTTAAAATATGAGGGGTTTTAATATAAATTCTCCTTTCTCTTTATCCCTGCCATATCTGAGGGCCATGGTTTCATAGTGGACTTGCCAGTGCTGGTCCACATGAGGAAATCCTGTCTTGCTCAGCTCAGATCTGACCTGCCCAGAGGTCTGGCACCTCTTCATGCACACAGGACCTGAAGAACCAGCAGGGTTTAGGGCTGATTGGGAAGGCAGTTGGGGCATTTGCCATCACTCGCCTCTCTGAGTTCTGGCTCCACACCCAGTGTTGGATTGCCAGGCTCTCAGCAGCTCCATGGAATTGGCTGTGTCACTTTATTCTCACATCAGAAGCACGTTTGGCACCAAGGCCAAGGAGTGACAATCCCTCAGGGGATCAGAGGAGCTCATTCTCCCCTCCCCTGGCAGAAGATGCTGCCCCTAGAGCAGCTCAGGCAGGGGCACCATGCAGAGTTTAACAGAGCCAGACCCACAGCAGTGCCCAGCTGGCAGTGCCCAGCATTCCTGGTTATTCCCAGAGGATCCAGGGGTGCATGCTCAGCACTCAGCACCCTGCAGCACGTCTGGATTTTGCCTTATCACCCGGAATTCTCCCAGGAAAGCTGTCCTGGGTCTGTGTGTGTGGACAGGACCATGTGGAGGGTGCTGACTGCTCAGGGAATGGTGAGTGGCTCTGGGAAGGAAAAGGAGGAGGTTTGCCAAGTGCAGGGTTTGTTCACCTTCCTGTGGAACCCCAGCTGTGCCAGAGCAGGTGGCAGTGGGTGGGGGAGCTCATTTCTCTGTGGCAGGGCTGTGTGCGTCACCCCAGCTCCCTGGGGGTGCAGATGGAGATGGGCAGGGACGTGCCATGTCACAGCTGCGTGTCCCTTCCTTGCAGACATCAACATGGCCGGGGAGCCCAAACCCAACAGACCCAAAGGGCTGAAGAGAGCAGCCTCTGCCTTGTACAGGTAGGTGTTCACCACAGTGTTGAGTCTGGGCTGGGGTTTGCCCTCCAGCACCCCCAGCCCCTGCCCTGAGCTCCCTGCTGCCTGCCCCCAGCAGCCTGGGCATTGCTGCACACGCAGAGCTGCTCACAGGGCTCCTTCCCCTGTCAGTGCCCCTGGGGCTGGACAGTGCCTCTGGTGGTGTGGGAGATCTGCTGGGCATGGCCCCACCTGTGCAGGGGTTGGAGAAGGGTGGGCAGAGGAGGGGGAGCAAGAGGAGCAACCTCTGCAGCCAGGGAGCAGGAGTGGGCACAGAGGTGCTGGGTGGGGGGGAAACAGGGATCATTTAGGGAAAGAGGAGAAGGGAAGAAAGTGGGAAGCCCTTGAGGTGCCAAATGGAGGTGAAGCAAGGAGGAAGTCCCAAGGGAGCCTGTTCTGAGGAGCACAGCCCAGGGATCAAGGGAACAGGAGGGGCAGGTGGGACATGGAGAGGTCTGTGGCACATGGGGTGTGTTACAGATGCCAGTGAGCCCTCAGCTCAAGAGAATTTATCATCATTTCCACAAGAGGTGAAGATTTTTATTTAAGCTTCAGACTCTGGAGTCAGGGGAATGCAGGAGAAACTCATTAAGTTCTTGCTTCTGGTTGCAGAAGGGGAAACTTGAAAAGGTCTATCAGGAGTGCCCAAAACCAAATAACAAGGTCCTCAAATGTCTTTTATGTATGAATTGTCATGATTTTGATGCCAGTCTCATGATGAGGAGACCAAGGGGCTGAGTAAAGAGTTGGAAGGTGTGAGGTTGGGAGGAAAAGACTAAAATCAGTATTGGGGCTATAGGTGGATGTAGCAAAAGGGGAAATCATGAGAGAACTGGAGATTTTTCCAGAAAAAGAAGAAAAAGGTGTGAGGCGCAAAGAGAACCTTGTGATTCAGACTCAGCCGCATGGTCCTGCACTGTTGTTGTGTGGAATGGCAAATCCTGGTTGGAAAATGCAGCTCTGGCACAGCCAGACCCCCAGAGCCCCAGCAGCCTCCCACCACCCACAGGGCATCCCCAGATTCCTTGCAGGAGCCTCTCAGCCAAGCTCCCCCTGGGCAGCTTTCAGGCACATTTCTCTCCCCATCCTTTGGGCCCTCCTAAGATGTTGTCTTGGTTTGGAAAGCCAGGTGCCTGCTAAGGAAGGCAGGAGCCTCCCCTGAAATGGAGAATGTAAACCCTCCCCACCCCTCCGAATTACTATAAATTTTAAATTAAGGGGCTTTCAGGCAAAAAATATGAGAGCAGGAAATTACAATTCTTTAATAGGGAAGAAAAAAATAAAATTATTAAATAAACAATGCAGTACACTAGAACAACACTGCCAGAGTCAGAACCCAACCTGACACCCTGTGGGTCAGGCTGTTGGCAGCAGTCCCATTGGAATTGTGGCTCAGCCCTCCTGCAGTGTCAGGGCTGGTTCTGCTGGAGCAGGGATCCTGTAGAGAAGGATGTGTTCTTCTTCTAAAGATCCAATGGAAGGAGAGGCAGCTGCTGTTCCTCTGGGGAATCCAGTGCAGAAGCCGTGCTGGTGTCTCAAAAACCTCTGGATTATATCTCGGTAGCAATGCTTGGCTCCTCCCTCTGGGCGGAGCATTTCACAATAGGATGCTGTAGTTCAGCCATGCAGGGACATTCAATGGCTGTTATCAGCAATGTCCCCTCCCAAGGGAGGTGTGAATGTGGTCACTCAGAGAGAGAGATAAGGCAAACTGCCTACTTGACAAAGATAATCTGCCATACAGATGGGAATGGAATACATCTTGCATTGCAATCTTCAACAACGTGGCTCTCTGGGCTCCCAGGGGATTCCACCTGAGGGGAGGGAGGTGGGAGCAGAGCTGACACCAATCCTGCAGTTCAGCTCCACTGTGGGCTGCTCACGTGGGGCTGGGGCCATCACACACATCATCTCCTTCCATACATCTTGCACTAATGAGCTTTTCATTTACTGCTCAGCCCTGCCTGCAGCACTAATCCCTTCCTCTGCAATGACCAATATTTCAGACTTCAGACTGCTGAGAGAGATGTTTGCTCCCTCCCACAAATATGGAAATGCTAAAATATGGGCCAGAGAACTGCACTGCTCCTGTTCCCAGCAATATTTCATCCCAAACTGGCTGTCAGATTAAAACTTTGCCATCTGGACTGGCAGAACTTAGGATATCTCCTGGAAAACAGGGATCCCAGGTTTGCAGCGAGCTGTGCTTACAGCTTCCCAAACCACCATCAATTTTGCTAAATGTTAGACTTCAAAAAATCACAGCACAGTAATTTATAGAAGTGCTGTGTTAAACAGAGCAGAGGATTTTTCCAAAGGCTGGCTTTTGCTTTGCCTCATTCCAAGTCTGCATGGGAGGGTTGAGGGGAAGGCAAGGCAAGGAAAATTCTGTTTTGAACATACAAGAAGCAACATTTGTGACATTTTTACCTATCCACCAGCCTAGGTGGGTGTCCAGGTGTTAAACAGAAATCCTTGGGGGTGCAGGCTCCCATCCACCTCCACCCAGGCTCGTGCCACCATCAGTTTTCTCAGGTGTCTCCACACGAGGCACCTTCACTTCCTACAGAGCCTTGCTGCCATCACTGCTCTCCCCCATCTCTGGGGCTCCCTCCCTCCCTCCCTCCGGCACTCCCAGAGCATCCCTTTGCACAGGGCTGATCCTGGATGCTCCTGCCTGGCACCCTGGCCATCCCCACAGACCCTGCTGTCACTGTGTCCCCAGGGAGTCACTCACTGCCTCTCAAAATTTCCAAATCTCCCTTCTGACAGCATTTTTTTTTGCCTGCACGGCAAATGTCTGGACAGGATTTCCTGGGGCATTTGGGGCCACGTTCAGGTCAGTGCCAGAGATGCCACCCAGGGGCTGTCATCTGGCTGGGAAGGGAATTTGGCTCTGCCAGTGCCACTCTGGGCTTTTGGAGGCACAAATCCCTGCCCTGCCCTGCAGAGCTGGGGCTAAAGCTGCTCCATGGCCACAAGGACAGAGAGGACAGCCCAAGCAAGAGCTGCTGGGTGTCTGTCTGCAGCTCAGTGGCCCCAGGAGGGTGTCTGAAGTGGTGGCAGGGACAAAGCACTGCTGACTGATGTCACAGCTCATGAGCCCTGGCATCCATCCCCTGCTACACCCAGAGCTGGTGTCAGCCCCTCCCCAAACGCCCCTCCCAGGCCCTGCTGCTGGGGCAGTGACATCCCAGTGCCAAATGCACTTGGACAGGGCTGAGAGCAGCCCCGGGGCAGAGGGGGAGGTGAACACTGATGTCCCAGCCTAGAGCAGCCCCAGCACTTTGGGTTCATCCCACATTCCTTTATTTCCCCCTGCCATGGCTGTGTGCAGGAGGAAGGGATCTCACACAGCTCCACAAGATGTGTTTGATCAGTGCCACATTTTCCAAGCAGCTTTCCACTGCAGTAATGCCATGACAGAAGGGTGGGAGCTGAGCTGAGCTCACCATGGCACTCATGATCAGCAATACCAGGCAGGAATTAAAGCACAGATGCTCAAATGCACATTTGCTGTTCAGGTCCAGGCTCAGAAGTGGCCCCACAAATGTGGTGGAAAAGCAGCACATGCAAACAATCACCCCTCAGTTATCAACAGCTGCATTTTGAACCTGAGGCAGTGGAATGTTGGATTGCTAAAGGCCAGCAAAGCAGAGGCAATGCCTCTCAATCAGGAGGTGGAAGCAGGGTGTTCTTGAAGCCTTCCTGCTCTCCAGCCTTTCACTCTGGTTGTCCCTGCTTTATTCTGAAAGGGTGCAATGTCACCAGCTGATTGAAAAACAGCAAAAACTATTCCTGTACACAGACAGAGCTGCCAGGTCACTGAGGAATGATCCCTCGGCCTCAGGATGGTTTATCCTACATGCAGTGGAATTTTCAGGATCAATCACCCCTAAAAGCTCTCCCTTTCACCAGCTTTTGTCCTGGATTCATCCTGGCAGACCTGCCTTGTGCTCAAAGCCTGAGTGATGCTGCTAGGGGATTCCAGGGGTGCTGCTAAAACCAACCAGCCCTGCCTCCCTGCATCATCTGTTAAGCTGTGAGTGACTGCTGTGTTAGAGCAGGGTCACACAGCCACAGGCTGCCCAAATCCCTCATTCCAGCCCCTGCCTTCCTTGAGGGCTGCCCCACGGTCAGCAGGGATCCAAGCAGCCCTGCAGAGGCTGGGTTCGTGTTTTGGGAGGTCAGGACCAGCTCTCTGGGATAATTGTGCCCCCATTTCCTTTTGAAAGAGTGGAAATGTCTCCAGTCCCCTAAAGATCCAGGGCCAGGGCAGGAGAAGCCCTCACCCTTGGGGTGGTTTTGCACCCACAGATGCTCTGGGGCCCCTGCCCTGCAGTGCAGGCATGGTGTGCCCCCCTCAGTCCCTCTGGGATGCCCTGCAGATGTGCCAGGGGTGATTCCCACCAGGAGAACACAGGCATGGCCAGCTCTGCTCCACATCCCATGGAAATGGGCAATAACACAGAGCAGTAACATCAATGGGCTCATTGGCATTTCACCCAGCAGATTGACTGCTCTGGGAAGAGGCTTCACCTGGGCTCTTGGGCATCTCTGTCCTTCTCCAGCTCTTCTCCAACCTTCTCCAGGTGGGATCTACAGATATCTGAGGCTGAGCTTCATCCCATTGGTGCTGGAGCCAAGCCCAGGAGCAGGGCAGAGGTGCCCAAACGCCTGAGGGCAGGGTCAGTGCTGGTGATGGAGGTGCCCACCCCACTCAGGGCTGGTCCCTTGTTCCCAGGTGCCAGGCTGTGCCCAGGGCAGTGCTGGCAGCAGCAGGGCACTGCTGTGTGCTGTGTGCTGTGTGCTGGGGCTGCAGCTCCTCTCCATCCCCACAGCACCATGGACCTGCCCCTGTGCTGATCCCACAGCTCTGCCAGGGAGCAAAGGCTTGGAGGAGAAGCTGGCTCTGACCAGGAGTGTAAATTGGGGTCAGGAAAAAGGAATTTGGGTGTCTCAGAATTTTGCCCAACACCTCCAAGCTTTGTATTCTTTATGAACAAATGCTCCAAAGCTGCCTCATGGTCTCCAAGCCACAGAGAGCTGCCCAGCAGGAGCAGCTCCTCATGGAGGTGATGCCTCAGGGAGATGGAACAGGGGCTGGATGGAGTTCAGAGCAATAAAGTGGAGATTTATTGAGGTGCCTTCAAAGGCCACACCCTGGCAGTACCTGGATGGCTCCAAGATGGGAACAAAAGAGAGCTTGGCCATGAGATCTCACATTTTTATAATTTTTAGTCCATTTGCATACAGGAGTTCACTGTTCAATTAATAGCTTCAAATGATGAATTTTCATCCTCCTTGCTTGCTTGCCCACCCTCCTCTTCTCACATTGTTGATGCTTTGGGCCTGAAGTTTGAAGGGATTGTCCTTGAGTCTCCAGCTAGAATAGGATTGGTGTGTGAAACGATCCCAGTAACATTAATATCAAGCTAAAAGCTGCACACCAAAACAGAACAGAAAAAATTAAAACCCAAGGTATCAGAGAGAGTTTGTGCTGTGGATGAAGGCTCGGCTTCATCCCACTGGGAGCCCTGGAGCCACAGGCAAATCCCACTGGCTCTTGCCTGGGACTGGGGATAACACTGGCTGTGCTGGAGAGAGCCAGAAGCACTTCACCAGAGCCTGTCAGGATTGAAAATATTACAAAATTGCAGCAATTTCATTTGAGTTGCATCTAAGGAGGGGGGAAAATTGAAGAGGGAGAGTGTAACAGCGTAGAAGCATCCTACTTCAATTTTCCTTTCAAATGGCTTCCTATTTTTGATGGTATTTTGTATTTATTGGATTCAAACAGACCTGGAGTCAAACATCCTCAGTGATCAAAGTGAATTGGCAGGCTGAGGGGAGCTATTTTCTTGGAGGGTTTTTGTATCTCCAGGTTTCACCTTGGGTTAGAACAAAAATCCAGTTACCCATCATGAAATGCTCCATGGCAGTGCCTCATTCTGTGATCTCCATCCCCTCAGCCCCACAAACAGCTGGGTTCATTCCAGCAACAGCTGCCCTGGGAGGAATTGCCTTTCCCTTTCAATCCAGAGAGGGAATAAACAAACACAGATGAGGCAGAGGTTGGGACAGAGGCTGTGGGATGTTCCTGTCTCCTCTGAGCCCAGCAGGAATGTTGGCTACAACTCGGCTCAGAAGGGGAGGGCCTGAAAAGAATCTGGAATTCATCTGTCAAAAAAGGTTCTTTTGCACCATGCAGTGGCATCTGGGAGGGCTGTGGTGATCACAGCTCCGCAGTCACATCTCCCCAGCAGGCTCCTTGCTCAGCAGTGAGGCCCTGCAGTGCCCATCCCATGGAATGGCACAGGCAGCAGCTGCTCAGGGATAAGGCATTATGGAATATCTCCTCACTGAAGTCCCCAGAGCAGGAGGTGCATGAGCCACCTCCTTGTCCTTAATTCTGGCACCAAGTCTGGCCCCAAAGCAGCTCTGGTGTCTCCAGCCATGCTCAGGTCCCCTCTATGCACAGGCTGGGTCTCCAGGTGCTGCCACAGGGATCTGGGGAACCCAAGGAGGGTGGAAAAATCATCTTTCAGAAACCATCCTGTGAAAAACACCAATCACTTGTTAAAATTTTTAAAGTTTAATAGTAGTAAAATAGTTATAAAAATAGCAATGTAATTAGAGTAATAAAAATTTTGGACTATTAGAATTTAAGACAGTATGAAACAATAGAAACAAAGAGTTATGGACAGTCTGGGTACCTTTTTCTGGACAGCATAAGCCCAAAAAAGGCCCCACGTTAACAGAGGATTAACCCTTAAAAGCAACAGCCTGTTGCATATTCATACTCCTCATACATGATGCATAAATTCCATTCAAACACAGGATTCTGTCTGGGCAGCGTCAGCCTTTTCCTCTGAATCCTGACGGCATCTTCAGGGCTGAGCAAGGTGGGAAGAAGTTCGGTTCTTCTCATAATGGAGCAATAAATTCTTTTTCTCTGAAACATTTAGGTGTTCTGTGGCTGCCATCTGGTGCAAGTACCTCTTTTCTTTCTTAAAAAAAAATCCCACGTACATAGTTCCTATTTTAACTACAAAAGTTATCTTTTAAGTACAAAACTACATTTACCATACTATTAAAATGTTAATACAGCACTACTAACCAATACAACATAATACGTACAGTAAATATCTGTGTAGAACCATAAGCTCAGTGCCACAACAGGCATGACAGAGCTCCTGGAATTCCTGGTCCAAGCCACACTTCCCACCAGCCAGCCCAGTCAGCCACATTGTTGTTGCCATTGTCAGAGATGCAGGAGCCCCGATAAATTCTCACTGCACTCCTGGGGGTAATCCTGCGCTGTCCCCTGGCCCTCTGCTCAGCCCTTCCCTCTCCCCATCCATCTCTCATTCTTTTCAGCCACTTCCAGGAGGCAGGACAGGCTTTGGTTTTTAGGGCTGCATTCTGTTTGTGCAGAGCAGAGAGGAGACCACCAGCACCACATCTGAATTAGCCATTAATTGAGCGTTAATTGAGTGTTAATGAGCTTAGCACACCAGAGAAGGGTGATGAGGCAGCTGCTCTCAGTGTGTTGGGTGAAACCTCCTGATTTGTGCTGCCTTGTGAAACACCAGCTGCAGCAAGGGGGAAAGTGTTGGTGTCCAGGGAGTGGGGAATGCTCCTACTTTGGGTTAAAATGCAGCTGCAGCAAGGGGGAAAGTGTTACTGGGTGTCCAGGAGTGGACAGTGCTCCTGCGTTGGGTTAAAATGCATCTCAAGCTTAAGAAAACAGGACGTGGGCATTGTCTGCCTGGGGGGAGAGAGGTTAAATCAATAAATATCCCCATAAATATCCAATTTGTCCCGACTTTTCTCCACACACATCTTCTTGCTCCTCCTTGAGATAAGTAGGTTAACACCCTCTGGCAACACCGTCCTCCTCTGCCTTCAGCCCCCTAGTCTTCCTCCCTGCAGCCAGGAGGGTCCCTCATGCATTTCTTTATCCTCGATGGCCCAGCAGGCAGTGAGGGAGCAGCAATAATGAGTTCCCAGCACTAATTAACCCTGACTGTCTCTGCAGTGGCTACGACTTCGACTATGACTATTACAGAGACGACTTCTACGACAGGTGAGACCCAGCCCGAGAGGCTCTGTGGGGTGGGGGCAGGAGGGATTTGGGGTGTCAGGAAAATTAAACCACAAACACCAGAGGTTTATGTCCAAAAAGGAGACAGAGGAATCCTTTTATTTTATTCCAATAAAGGGAGAGGCCATAGGGCATTCCCCTGGGGTCTCTCTAGTTTTTGGAGGACTCAGCCTCCTTTTTATCCCAATTTCCCAGCCACATTTCCCTTCTCTCTTTCCCCATTGGCTGAGGTACTTGGGAGTTTCAGACTGAAACACCTCATACCAAAGATTTCCCTCTCATATATCACCCTCCCTTTTGATCTTCAATTCTTATGGAATTTAGGGGTTTTCCTTCCCCATTGTTTCTTTCATCTTTCAATATCCAATTTCATTTATCAGCAAACCTGC